AGATAGGTATATATAAATACGAGTATTATATACGTATAGAGAAAAGGTAGCGAGGAGGAAAATGAAAAATCTTAGAAAATGAAAAAAAAAAAAAAAACAGAAAAAATTTAACAAATTTGTATCGTTCGACTACTTATTTTGAGATTCTAAATAGTCGAATAATAATAATAAAAAAAAAAAAAATAATAATAATAATAATAATAATAATAATAATGCCGGGCACTACAATAATACGTAATCGTTCATCCTCCTCCTCGTCGTCGTCGTCGTCGGTAGGTTTAGTCTTTAGAGATGATGATGATGATGATGCTGAGGAAATTGAACGGAATAATATATTTGATCGCGCCTAGTGTTGGAAAATATTGAAATCTCGTAGTCTCCAGCGGACCGTCGTCTGAGGCCAATACGGATGCCTGATGATGGTGCCGCGATAGAAGGTGCCGATGGCTTTCGGGGCCATCGCGACGATCTCGGAAAGAGCGTTTTTTCGTAAACCTGCGTAGAAAAAAAAAACCGAATGTTAGTCAGTGGATTGTCTTTATGGGGAAAAAAAAAAAAAAAAAAAACACGCGCGGAGAGTGTTCGGGTCGGTAATTATGAATATCACGCGGAAAACAATTTTTCGGATCGCGGAAAAATCTCGTCGTCGTAAATCGATATATAAAAAAAAAAAAAACACAATGTTTATAAAATATTTTTTCGGGCTCGGAAAACGACATAAATGGTTTTTTTTTTTTTAATATTAGACTTTTTTTCGTTTCCCGCCCACTTCGGCCCATTATTTATTCGTCAGCCCACAGACTTCCTGCAGCGCGGCTCGTCGAACGCACACCTAAATATCCGCGCGAGGTATAGTAAATTGCTGGCAGCTCGACGCGAGATTTGTATAGTTTTTTTTTGTTTCGTTTCGATTGCGATTTACCGCGACAGGTTAAGGAACCCTACTATATATTATTGCTATTATGTACGCCGCTTTCCGGTCGTTGGATATTATTAACCTACTCCGCAGGAACCGGCGCGACCTTCGGGATATCCTCGGCGTCTACGCGTCACAGACAGCATTTCGGGATAAAAACGAAAATCGCCGTGTAAATTTTCCGAGATACGGTTTTTGAAATCGCGAAAATTCGAAATAGGTACACGGCCAGTCGAAAACGAGACGGAAAAAATCGCCGGAAAATTTACGCCTACCACCGCCTAAGGTCAATAATAACGACGGATAGGTAGAAAAAAAATAATAAATAAACCGCGACTCTTACCTGATTTATGCATTGTTTCGGAGTGTGTTGGTTTGTTTGCGTGTGCCGACGACGATGATTAGCATCCGGTCGCGATCTGGTCAGTAGAGGCCAGTTGGGTCGAGTTTCGGTCCTCCTCCGCACATTTTGACGATTTTTTTTCTGATTGTTGTTTTTGTTGTCGGATTGACGAAAGTGATTGAAAATTTGTTGTTGTTTTTTTTTTTTTTTGGCGTGTTTTTGCGGTAAAGTAGCGATCGGCGATTGCGATGATCGATACGGATGTTGGATCGGGTTTTTTTTATTATTATTATTTTTTCAGTAAAGTCCGGTCGGATCCAAACCCATCGTGAGAGAAAATTTTCGAAAAATTTAAACGAAACTATTCGACTCGAAATACGGTATCGTTTTATCGGACAGCGTAGGCGGCGAAAAAATTAAATTTTTTTTTTATTATTCAAAAATAAATAAATAACAAAAAAAAAAAACAAAACTAATACGTCCGCGGGAATCCGGAGCGCCGTGCGTAAGCGTCGTGTGCGACGGAAGAGCAGAGTGCACAGTGTCGTCTCGGACGAAAAGCCGATCGAATACTGAATGCTGTTGAGCGCGTGCACCCCGTATTTATAATGGCCCGGTTTTAAAAGCCCGGGAAAAAATACACACACACACACACACACACACACACACGCACGTGAGCGCGCGCACAGACGACTGATAGTGGATAGATAAATATAAATATCGATAGATAATGCGGACGAAAAACTGCTGCGGCGGCGCACAGGGACGACACTGAACGGCCGGTCAAGGAACTAAAAGGACGTGTGACGACGGCGGTGGGCGCGGGGTGGACGGGATGGGGAGGAGGGGAGAAGTGGTAGAAGAAGACGAAGACGAAGAAATGATAATAGATTAGAGAGAAAAAAATACCCGAACACGACCGATGACTTGCGCTCGCGCCGACGCCGACGTGTGTGTGCTTTTCGTCGACGCGCGTCTGCCGCGATACGAAAAGAAGGTGTATCTGTCGACGACTGGTGATACACGCGCGCGCGCGCGCGCACACACACACGCACACACACACACACACGTTCACACGCGCACACACACACACACACACACGCACGCCTCGCGCACACGCACACACGAATACGGGAGGCGGCGGCGCGCGCACGCACACACACGATTCGACCGGCGGCGGCGGCGGCGCTCCCACAGGGCTTTTTTACCGTCGCGCATGCGCAACGACCAGATTTTCCTCCACCGTTCCGCCCGGTCCGCGGGGACCGTCCCGCCCACCGCCGTCTATATACAGGGTGTTGTTGCGCGACGTTGCACCCGCCGCCGAACCCGATACCGTAGGTATTAATAATAATATTTTTCGCGGAGAGAATTCGGGAAATTTCGACGGTCCCGGCGCGGAAAAAAAAACAATAAAACAAAACGTTTTCGAAATCCGTGTAGCCCCGGTGTATCACCGTACAAGCCTTTAAACACGTTTTATACGTTAAAACAACGTAGGTATAATATGACGTGCCGATAACTTCGGTCCGCGCTTGTCGTACACGCCGATAGCGTAATGTTTCCGATTTCGAGCGGACAACACTCGCGTCGGTCTTTCGGTTTGTGTCGGTTCGGCCGCGACTTTGCGGGCGAGCTTAGGGTGACGATCGTCGGACCCGTCGGCCCCGTTCAGCCTTCTCCCACCTCCCCATCGGCATCATTTCGTCTCGATCGGCGAGAGAGGCACGTCGCTGACGAATCTCGCGACGACCGAGTCGTTCCGTAACAATAACAATAATAATAATGATAACAATGATAATGGTACATTGTATTTCGAGCGTCCGCGTCTCATTGTATGCAAATGCCAAAACGTTTTTGGGCGAAAAACAAATCGCGAACAGATATAATTCCATTATTTATGTGTAGCCGGTGTGCGCGAGACATTCGCCGTCGTCGTCGGGTCCCGGACAGATTGCGAATCGTTTTTACGTTTATCATTATTATTATTGTATTATTAACGCGCGCGCCGCCGCTGGAAATGTTATAACGCGTAAACGAGTTTGCTGAGTACCGATCGACATTATTGTCCATTAAAATGTTAATCGTTTTTGTTAATTTAATTTTTTCTCCGCCGCGCGGAATACGCGCAGTAATAATATCATACACTTTTGAGCGTATCTTTTATACGCGACCCACGCGGGTTTCGCGAACTGCACACGTACACACCTGCGTCGCCGCGATTAGACCGAGGGGAGCGCAGTCGTATGATAATAACATCGCAACCGAGGAAGGGGCGGTACGGTAGGTGAGAGGGCGGGGGGGGAGGTTCTGTTTAATCGTATTTCGTACGGCGCGTAACATTTCGGGATCGAGGCGCGCCGCGGCCGTCGGAATAATAATGCCGCGGCAACGATAATTACTCTCGTACGGGTGGGGGGGAGGGGGGCAGGGGGGTTTCTTCTCGCGTTCGTCTTGTAAACGCGGATTCGCGATCGACGGTTTTCCGACGGCGGCGGTCCGCAACATCGGTTCACCCGATTGTCGATTCGCCGCGGCCCATTGGCCCCCCCGCGTCACGATTGTGCGGCATGGGCACACCGGCCGGGTGTCGGGCGGTGCGCGTACCCGTTTTTCGCGGACGGGGTCGGCCGCGCGCGCACATGCAATTTTTACGGCGGACCGAATTTTCGCGCACGACGCCGGCTAATTAGTCGCCGATCGCTGCGTGCACCCTGTACATTATATATATACGTGGTCGCGTGTGTACTACGATATTATTATTATTATTATTATTATTATTATTATATTATTATACACACGCACACACACACACACACACACACATACACATACACACGCGCGCGCGCGCGCACGCACTATTATACGTGTACGCCGCGCTATAGGCAATGGACTCTGCGGGCCGGCGGTCGGGACGTGACGGGACGGGACGGTGGAGAGAGGGGGGGGATCCGTAATCGAGAGTCAGCTGTTCGTCAGCAAAGTCGTTAACCTACGTCAACGCGGAACACTGCAACTGACCCCTTCCGTCGCCGCCGCCGCCGCGGCCGCGGGCCCGATCGGATGCGCGATATTAACGCCGCCCGCCCCCCCGTTTCGCGTAAGATTTTTTTCGCGCGAGATTTTCGCTCTTTTTCCGCCCCACCAACCCTTGGGCTCGCTCGCCCGCGCCCGTCACGCGCGTCCGCCCGCAGCCACGGGGTTACCGATACCATCTCGCCCGCCCCCCCCCCCCC